TGTGGATATACTGGACACTGAAGCTAAGTAACCCAGACTACTGGTTTCTCCTGGAGGATTGGGTTGAGGGTGATGTGTTTTTTATTTAAATAATGGCCAGTGCAAACTTCTAATATGATATTCATATGATTACATTGTGAACAGATCAATATAGTCTACGTCTGTGTGAGTATTTTGCCTGGAGGTGTGCCTGTGTGCGCGCAGCCTATATGAGCAGGGGGTGTGTCCGTGTGAGCACATGTGCAATGCTCTCTTGTGTGTATTTCCAAGCGCTACATTATGCTAAAGTGTGCCCACGTGCCCATGCTAATGCCCAATTTAAGATTTTAAAGGGGCACTTCATTGATTTTACACCATCAACGTTATCAACATCACTTTACTCATCATGGCGGATACAACTCAACCCATGAAAACAGCTCTTGGGTTCTTGTGTAGTTTGAAAAAAAACAAAAACTGATGATGTCATCAAGTTGGTTTTTAGCTTGGAGACTCAATCAATATGTTTAACTGAGAGCCTGCCTTGCAAACTGTGACCATGGACTTTAAAATACATTTACCAGGCAGCAGTTTATGAAGAAAAAAAAGATAGTATTGCATTATGGGAAATGTGGGATCTAGTATTTTTAGAGTTTTACCTGAAGCACTAAACGTCAGGATATTCTGGCGTCGATTTTCATCATTCTTGACGTACAGTCGGTCACAAGTCTCCAAAATTTCTGGAAGTACAATACCAATTTGGTGTGATACCCCATCAATGTCACTGAATTGTTTGGACAGCAGGTCTTATGTCATGTTTTGTTTGATTGTCCTCTGCTATGTTGACCCAAAGCCTCTCCAGTGTGTATGTGCATACTGTATGTGGGTCTACATGTGTGTGTGTGTGTGTGTGTGTATGGCCGCGTGTGTGCATCTGTTTGTGTGTTAGCGCGATAGGAAACAGTGTTGTCATTGTACATAAATGGAGAATAACACGCACTAATCTACATTCCTTAATTACCCACTCAGTTCAGGAAATATTCCAAAAGCTGGACATGTCTCCGTGTAGCAATTGCCCTGGCATAATAGTTTCCACTAAGGCTGTCCGAGTACCCCCATCGCACACACATACATACTACCCCCCCCCCCAAAAAAAATAAAAACAATAAGGAGGGGGCTCTTTCCTTCACAGAAATGATCATTGCATTATGCTCACAGCTCTGTAGCATGGATATCGGAGCAGTTCCAAAACCTCCAGCTGGGATGCTTAAATGATTTCACTGCTCACCAAAATTCGAGAGATTATTGTGTGTTTGTGGCTCATTGTAATGGAAACTCATTTTCAGATCTCACTAGGAGCACTCACAGTTGAAGAGACGGCAGCCCTCAGAATCGGTTCCCAGGGAGTCTGAAGCAAGCGGCCCCTCAGCTTTCCCATTTATGTCTAAGTGACAGATGGAACATTTAAACAACTGATTCCATTGTAGTATATTCAAGATAAATGTCATAACTGGTATGCAGTATGTTCAAGCAACACTTCTTTTCTCTGTCAGCTCATGGAGCAGCAGGAAGTCTGCTGAGTTATGGATCGTTCTTGTGTGAACAGGGGCCGAGATGAGGCCAACGGTTAAAACACTGACTCAAGTTCTTTAAAAATGTAGATGTGATTAGGCAGAACTCTGCAATCACAGTTTCACATGAATTTTATTGAATTTATTTATGTAAGTTTTGCTGATTGTTTGAAAGGAAAAAAGGCTCAGTCCAGGCTTGATTGATGTGTTTGGCCATTTTGTCTTTGTTATTTTGACATCGTCGAATGAAAGGGCATTGGTTCAGGAGAGCTATTTCATAGCTCAATCTATTGAGTTATTTCATAACATGCCACTGCCAATAAAGACGTTTCCTGTCAAGGTAAATGTATTTGTGTTGGCAAAAACAAGAAAATAATCATCCTCATTTTCCAGTCTTGATTACTTTAAAGGACACACATAGCTTACCACCATCTTCATCATCTAGCATTTTTACAGCGCATTTCGAGTCGTCCAGCTACTCATAAAGTTTTACACCAAAGTCAACATTTACCCTAATCACACACACATTCATACACCGATGGCAGTAGCTGCCATTCAAGGTGCCATTAGGATTTAATCTAATCTTTCACTCACACACTGATGACGCATGCCTTCGGGAGCAATTTGGGGTTCAGTCTCTTGCCCAAGGACACATCGACAAGTGAACTAGAGGAGCTTGGGGTCGAACTGCTGATCTTCTTGTTAATGGATGACCTGCACTACATCCTGACCAGTTGTCGCTCAAAACACTCATTGCAGTGATATGTTAATTTAGTTTAAAAGGCAAAACATTCCTCAACGGGGGCCATGAATATCTAACTCCAGCATCACATTGGCTGTGCTTTGTTAATAGTTCTACAATCTAGAGACTGCATTGCCATCACTCTTGTGTTAACATATGCACATATCGCACTGAAAATCTTATCATTGAGCTTCAACAGCGGAGGAAAATGGGTAAAAACTCTGTAGCAGACAGAATCTGTATCACACAGCCAAAGTTAGTTTTTTTTTTTAAATGTGATGTAAGGCGGCAAAAGAAGATAACATGGTTATCTTAATTATATAGGGTCAGTTAACATTCACATACCAATCCCATGGCTCTGTCAAAAAATAAATGACACAAAAGGAACCTCCTCTTTGTCAAAAGATGTAATCACCAGCTATGATTCTTTGGAAAAGAACACTACTGATATTTCTGTCTTAATAAATCATAGTGAAGACGAGTTCGAGGGGAAATTCTTTCAGATGCGTCCTGTTTAAATACTGTACTTAAGGGATAAAGATGGAGATATTTCATGTTTTCTCTCTGTTAACAAATCCCATAAGACCAAAACCAGCAATGTGCTAAATCAGGAGTAAATAGTGCATAGGAAACTTTACAGCAGCAGGGAGATGTATGTTGGATTTGCTATTTATAAGGACATACCTTCCTACGTATCATAGTATCTATTTCCTGTTATGTTTGTGATTTAACTACAAGGCATTTCCCCTGATGCCTTTTGACAGCTCCAATGCCATTTTAGATTTAGATATTTCTTTCACTCAATTGTTGGCATAAATGCATTGGAATAGACACACTACCAGTTTTGAACGATAGTTTGTGATTATAAATGTCACTGCATCCTTTCCTCAAGCTTGAGAGACTCTTAAAAAGCATTTAATCCATATTTTCTAAGATGGCTAAAAAAAAATAAATCTGGAATTGGACCCAATTAAAGCTGCTATCGAAATGCTTCAAAATACATATTCATCACATCATTATTTAAAAATCATTTCATGTCATGTTGTTTCGTCACTTTATTTTCTGTGGTAATTAGGTTCATAAGTTTGCCTGATGGCTTCGAATTAAATATGCTCTGTGCACCTGGTGTAATCATGCTGTCTGTGTGACGTCTCGGATCTCATCATGAGTCCAATCATACCAGGCAAATAAGAGGTGCTGCTTTTTGGTGCCGCTTCATCCGCAGCTGGAGGATCGTGTCTGCTTTCACTCGTTTCTTTTATACACACTGTACCAGCCAGGTGTGCCTGAAGTATGAGGGCTTTCCTTCATCTAAAGTTACCCAAATTCCTCAGCATGGAGAGACAGAAGAGAAAGAGAGGGTCTTTTATTGGGCCACGTCCATCCGTTACGGGAAAAAAAAAGAATGAGAAGTCTGGGTGGGGGCAGGTGTTAGTGTCGGGAGGAGGGTGGTGGTGGTGGTTGGCGATCCTGGCTGGAGTGGAAAAAGGAATGTGGGGCTCCTGGAATGTTTAGAGCAGTCGGGGATAATTGAGTGAATTTGGAACAAGAAAAGACAAAGCGAGGTCCCGCGGTGCAAGAATGTGCTTCTGGGACGTCTGAAGAAACATTCCATCCATTCAGACAGTTTCACCAGGCCCAGAGCCTTCCATAGATGGCACCATAGGGAATATAAACCCCCTCCCTTCCTCTTCCCATATATACACACACACACACACACACACTGCCCTTACTTTCACACTCTCCTTGCCCTATACGCCTCTCACACTGCAGGACAAGCAGAGATCCTCCTTTTATAAATATGCTTTTCCATTGACGTTTGTGTACATTTTATCAAAAAGTCTGCCAAGAGTGAAGCAGTTACATATGTTTCCAAATTCTCAGGTTCACAAATAGAGATGTGCTCGTATAGTCTTTCTTTCACACTTTGTTTTTATAAAAGTTGAAACATATAAACAACAAAGCATGGGAGTCAAGTGGGTATACACTTCTTACTTCCCCGCCTTTATGCCCTTAGCTGTATGCAGATACAAATATGATAACATCTATTCCCCCTAGTTATTTGTTCCCTTGGGAAACAGTCTTACCATTATATACATGTGTTTTTTTTACTTTGTCCAGAGGGTCTAACAATTTTAAGTTTCTACGTTTTTGCAGTCAAAGTAAAAGTTGACATAGAAAGAGGATGCTTCTTGCTACACTACTTCTATTATAATAACTCGATACAACCTAAAATGTCATACATTTTCCCAAAATATGTCATGACCAGAAGATGTTGGAATGATTGGGATCCCTATGCCAGCCCAGCTTCTAAAGCTGTGTTCAGACCAAATGCAAAGTGGATTTGTTGTGCAGCACAATTATATGCAATGCAAAAATGTGAATAGATGTAAATCTGCGCCGGATGAGACAAATACACATCCATGTGAGTTGTAACACTGCTATCGAATTATATTGTCTTGTCATATTCTTAACAAATGTTTTTGTTTTCTTTATATCAAACTAACATCATAGCATCCTATGGACATTGTACTATTTTACAGCGACATTTTCTGAAGTAATAAGAAATTGGTTCGAATACAGACGTCATTATGGATTCTAGATCTGCAGCTAAATTATAATTGTTGTATTAGTTGATTGATCACTAGCCAAGTGCTATTCATATGTTTAATAGCATATAGCACTCCCTTGCACACTTACACCTTTGCACTATTGGACATGTTCACTTGTTACACATTTACATGTCCCTGCTATATAGCTCTGTATTTCATGGTGTTGTGTTTTTGTATTCTGTTTTTATGTGAACCCTGGCTGCAAAACTAATTCCGCCATGACGGATAATAACTTGCATGTGGATTTAAGGGTGAAAACAATGCTGATTACAATTTCCTAAAGCCCAAATTGCTTATATTGTCAAACCAATTGTCCAAAATGTAAAGATGTCCAGTTTATAATCGCATAAGACAAAGAAAAGCAGTGTTTTGCATTTTAGCTTGAAAAATGACTAAAATGATTCAAATTCAAAATAGTTGCATTCATATATACTTGTCTGCTGATTGACTGATTGATATATTGACGTATCGTTTCAGGTTTAATTTATCCCGATAGATAAGCAATTAAACGATGGATAAATAACTGAATTATTTCTTAAAGTTAAAGAGACTTTTAAAGCATTAAGGAGTTTGACTTGCAGGCTCTGCTTTGCTGATTCAGTGTGAAATGCGTTGAGCCATACATTCAGTGTGTTTCTGACTGTCACTTGTTGTGCTGACGCTTCACAGCGGGCTGACAGGCTCGTTGGCTTCACGTGATAGTCGGTACGCGTCACCGAAGCGCTGTCCCTCGCCTTTAGACTGGAGCAGGGCAGACTTGACACCGTGTGTAGCAGGCGACTGTAAATAATTAATTAAAACCCAACAAACTAGCGGGGAACAAATAAGCAAGGCAGCAGCAGGTTATCTGATAGTAGTTCCTCTCATTCATTCGCCCGGGGTTGTCTTGCAGTTATATTTTCTTTTTCTCCAGATTTGAACGTGCCAATTAAAAAAAAAAAAAAAGGAAAGCGAAACATGGCTGGTTTAATGTCAGACTTTAGTCTCTACACCCACGCCGTCGTTCGGGGAATCCCCGCATCCCTGGCCAAAGAAGCGCTCCGGAGCAGCCAGGCGGAGGTGGACCTGTCCAAGGCGCGTAAGGAGCACGAGGCGTACGTCGAGGTCCTGGGGACGAGGCTCGGGCTGGAGGTGGTGGAGCTCCCCGCGGACGAGTCGCTCCCGGACTGCGTGTTCGTGGAGGATGCGGCCGTGGTGTGCGGTGACACGGCGCTCATCACCAGACCTGGGGCAGAGAGCAGGAGGAGAGAGGTAGGGAAAGTGTCAGCTTCCTCTGCATGACTTCAATTTGCCGAAAATGACAAAACAAAAAAAAGTTTGAAGTGGAGAGGAAGGCGTTGTCATTTGGCATGCAAGTAATAGTCTGCAGCGGTGCAGGTTGTAGAGTACCATATTAAGGTGGCTGATATATGTGAGTCATTAGCAGGATGTGTTTACTGCGAAAGCAAGATTTTCCCCTCGAAGTCTATGAGTCGGTTCATAATTTACTGGTGTCCACTGTATGTGATGCTAAATCAAATCTTCCGCCAAAATGAGTGAAATTTCAGTTTTAGGAAGGTTTATCCTGCAGGAGGCCTACATCTCTGAAAGCTACTTATCACCAGCTGTGCCAATCAAGATCACATTTGAACCATATTGTGCAACAGCCTATACAAAGGGATATGTTGATTAGGCTGGAGGCAACGCCCATTTGAATGACGACAATGCTTTTTTTTTTTTTTTTGCTTTTTTAAATATAGCAGCCTAAGTGCTTATCCTGCACTGTACTTTTCCTAATTAAGACAAAATTTCCAAAATGTATAGATTTTTCTTTGCATGTTTGTAGTTTACATGATACACATTTCTTGGTGATGAATGCACTTATTTATTACACACATTTGTTGTCTGTTGTCACGGTTGTCAATAATAATCATGGGATGTGTTCAATGCATCCAAGAAGGTCTTGCTTCATAATTCACACAGTAATTGGCTGATTAAGACCATGACAAAACCTGAAGTATTAGAAAAAAAGAAAACATAGACATGTATTTTAGGAACTGAGAGGCTTTGTGACCGCTGAAATGAATGAATGGCGACATTTTTGAGAACCAAACAACAATGCCTGTCCACAAGGTTGCCTAGTGAGGGTAGCTGCAATGTAGGGTAGCCGCGTTTGTGTAAATGACAATGGTTGAAACGGTGGGACGGCTTCTGTGAAAGCCCCCCGTCATTTCACATCAGAGTCACTTTGTTTGTTTCCAATGGTCCCCAGCCTCACTGGAGCCAGGGATACTGATTGAAAGGCTTGGCGCTGCTACCGTCAGCCACCACATTTCATTTATTCTGAACGTGGTACACGACAGGCATTTGCATGCACATGTGCACGCGCCATCAGCACTCTGCCCAAACCCTTTCTCACAATTTAAATTGTGCTTTTTGTCATATTTCATAAAGAGATGGCAATGATTTTGTTTCTGGCCCCAGTTCTGCCCTGTACACTGTGAAAAATCTACATAATTACATTTTCTCATAAAAGTGGTTTTATGGCTTTGGTTTCACAATTTGACTATGAAAAAAAGCACCTTTTAATGACATAAATATTTTTGCTTCTTGTTTGTATGCAAAGAAGAATAATGTAGTGTAAGGGCACTCGATGTGTTGCCCATAACACACAGTATAATGCATCGTAAGCACCTAATTTAGCATCACAGTCATAATAGCTATAAAAACCTGAGATGTTTCTTTCTGGTAATGCAGGAGGTACGAGTTGTATCAATCCAAACATTGTCAGAATCACCAAACTACCCAATCACTTTGGGGGTTATTAGCTTTTGTAACATTTCTCAGAGTGTCAAAGTTTTCTTCAAACTCTTATACAGCCTGCTGTTTACAACACCTTATCTTTAATGCAAGAGCTTGAACCTTCTTGGTGTGTAAAAAATATGACATAACGCTAATGCTTGTACTTTGTTAATGTTATTGTGCGTTGTAAAGTACTGCGTACACTTACACTTGTGAGCGCGGCCTCATTATTCACCTACAAACACATTTTTGACCTGAGAAATTATGTTTTTTGTTCTTTTTTTTATCAGCCTTCCTGAGAATCAATCCTTTTGCTTGTGGAGGTGAACTACAATTGTGTGAGCAGTCACGTCCTGTAGACGTTTTTCCTTCCTGTGTTTGCTTGGTCAGTTACAATTTTAGCTTATTATGCTTGAAGGTTATAACCTACAACTCTTCAGACATGCCTGTGTTGAAATAATTGGCACCTCCTATTCACTGGTGGTTGAATGGTGAGGGTTGAATTTTAGCACACAATTACCTCAACATCCTTGCATGTAGATTTGGCTGCACCACAAACACTACATCTCAGTGCTGTGTCACTAAGTTCACTATTGGACTGATTCCAAGATAATCAACAAACAACCTGGGTGACTTCAATTGGCTGAGTCTGTTTTTGAACCTCAAACATTATTGAGCACCTATCAGGATCAGCATGTTTGGCCAGGGCATTGTCTATTTCCTCTGCTTCACTTCACATATTTTCAGTCTTCCATGAATTGCTGCCAATTTAATGCCAAGATTTACGTGGCAAGATTCAGTTGTAGTGAGAGAAAAAAAGGATGTTGTCACAGCTTGTGTGACGAGGTGAACCCCCTAATTTGTTGGGCTTGTATGAACTTCCTACTGGGGAGAACTCTGCCAAAATATCAAACAGGTTTCAGTCTTTACAGAGGTTTAATTTATTAAGAAATAAATATATATATTTTTAAAGAGTCCAGGCCTAGAGCAGGAGAGGTAAAGGAGGCTTCAACCCTCCACAGATCCCACAGCGTCTCCTCTCCAGAAAAGACCATGACCTCCCAGACAGTGTGCCAATCAGGTTATTAGATCAATGCAGGCAACAGAGTGAGAGAAGCAATCATTAACATGATTCAACTTCTGGAAGTGGTTTTGAAGTGAATAATGTTCTAATCTTTTATCAATTCAGGTCAATTTATCAGTAGCCAGGATAGTTTTACGGGCTGCCAGTAAAAACCTGGACTTCGTCCAGATCCCTTTGACCGTCGAGTGGAGAACACTCTCTTAACTTGTGCTTCTCTTTGGATCAGATACTGTGGAGTTCAGGTGCACATTGCAGCAGGAGAATAGATGTGGAGTCTATGTTGGGGGGGAAGCACTTGTTATTGTTCATCACTTTAGTCCGTTTTAAATGCTGTGGCATTCAGTTGGTGGTTTATCGGCCTCATCCATCAGGTCTGCTTTGAGTTCTCCTTTAATCGTCTTGTAGAGTCACTGCAGGAGAGATGAACTAGTTGGTTCACACAATTTGATCACTTTCTTCTTTACCTTTTTTAAAGGGTGGGGTCATCACTGTTTGTACCCAGTTCAACTCCATATGACAATATGGATTGGGAAAACATTTCTTAAAGGTTGCAGCATTATTCTCATCCATTAGGCTGCGGCTTAAAAGCTTTATTATCAGGGGAAATGCTCCTCTAAATGGACTGCATGACTGTTCACTGCAAAGTGCAGCATTGTCTAAAAACACTCCAACAAAGAGCCAAAGTTAATTATTCCGTAATACTGAACACGTATATGGATGAGCTGAAACGGTTCACCAAGCTGCATGCAGAGCTGCAGATTGTAAGGTGACCTTCATGCTAATTGTGAACCTATTTGGGAATCATAATTAAATGGCATAAGTGAACCTGCACTGTTATTTTCAACATTATGAAAAGGACCCTACAGAGTGTTTTCCTTATCTTTCGCTTGATCCGGTCTGTTTGTTATTGTGTCCACGTCTCGCTCAAGGAGAAGTCTCGTGAAATCTGAATATCGGGCGGCAACGGGTCCCACTCTTTACAGCATTCTTCCTCTGTGGGCCTCATAGTGTCACAGCACCCACAGGAACACCTTCATCTCCAGAGCATCACAGCCTTACAGCAGCCGGTTCACCCTCCTCTGCCTGTTGCCCCTTTGCCCCTGGCCAACCTATTTAAAGACCTCATCCACGCTATTGAAATGATCTAAATATTTAGCCACAACATTGAAAAGGTTTAAATTCAAAGCTACACTTTCTGTACCCCAACTCAACAAACCCTGTCTGGCCGCCATTGTCATCTGGCAACACGTCACCTCGAGAGATTTCATAAAGGGGACTTCTCCGTGAGCTAGACTCTTTCCATAATGTCAGACACTTAAAATAGCAATCGGAGCCCATCAATGGCAAAAAGAAGCACTTTTAGTGGACGTAAATGACGGTGCCACCTTGCCCCGATAGGACTCCATAAAGCCTGTGAGCGGCTGTTGTCTGCGGTGTTCTCGCCCAATACTGAACCACTTTCAGAAATGTTTGTCTCCATTAGTCAGTTAGACACAAAAACATTGGGAAATGGGGTCCAATTAAATAAAGTTATCCTTTTAATGTCGAGCCTTTTCAGAATTGAGATAAAGAATATTTACTCAAGGCCATCAAGAATTATGAGCTTTGAATGCGTTTCTTGGCCTCATAGGTCATAGCATTGTTAGATTTTTAATTTGACAGCATACAATATGTTTTTTTTAATCTATTGAACCCACAGTCAGTTTCAAACACATTTGATGTCCATTTAGAGTTTTCAGACTTATAATAAACATTAGTCTAGCTTATGTGTTATAAGTATTGACTCCTTGTGCCTTTTAAGACTATCACTAGATGCACTGACAGCTCAGCCACAAAACAAAGACTTACTGGGATGTATTCTGCAAGCACAGTATGACTGACTTGAAAATATTTCCCTGGCCTGCTCACAACATTTGAGTTTTTCTCTCAGACCTCCTGACCTTAACTGTTGTTTGGAGAGACGCACATGTTGCCAAACTGTCCTTCCTGTTACCTTTTTAATTGTCTACATAACTTATCTATTCATTTAAAGAAGAGTGAGTCAATCAGCCCATTAATAATCTATTTTAAAATGTCCTCAAGTGTCTGTTTGGCGGGAAGTAAGTGAGTGCACTGCAGATTTAGTGTGGATGAGTTCACAGTGGATTTGATTGTTTAGTACCATCACTGCTCTCTGTAGATGCTCTGATGCAAGTTTTGAACTGTTGGCGTTCCTTGTGCCAATCAAAACGTGCATGTATTTGCTTGCTTACATACTTTATTGGTAGTTTTTTCAGCACCAACTCGGGTAAATGAGTTCAGGTATAGCCCTTTATGTCGGCAACATTTCTTTGTATGTTTTTACAATGACAATAAACATCCTTATCCTTATCCTTTATGTGTGAGA